CTGTCTGTCTGTCTGTCTGTCTGTCTGTCTGACTGTCTGTCACATGAGCACAGTCTTCACCTGTACAGGTGAGAAGTCTTTCATCTGCTACATAACCACTTCCTCACACAGTTTAAATTGAATGAATGAATGATTTATTCTAAACCAGGGGTGTCCAGTCCTGGTCCTGGAGGGCCACAGTCCTGCATGTTCTAGATGTTTCCTTCTTCCAACACACCTGATTCAAATGATCAGCTCATCATCAAGCTCTGCAGAAGCCTGATAACCATCCTGATCATTGAAATCAGGTGTGCTGGAACAAGGAAACATCTAGAACATGCAGGACTGTGGCCCTACAGGACCAGGACTGGAGCCCCTGTTCTAAACCCATGACAACGAGCCCTTGCACATCACACAGTAACAACAATGACATGCCCTCATGAATCTAATCGAGCCATAATCAATTCCTGCTGTGTAGCACACATCTATAAAAGTCTCAAAAACACATTTTAGAATATAAGTTTGAAAATGTTCAATTTTAACATTAAAATTTAATTTGAGTTAATTTAAAATGGAACTTATATATAAACACAAAACCCTGATCAGGAACGGACCCGACCAACAAAGAAAACAAACTCAAATCCCAAACTTGCCGATGGCTTGACAGAGGTAAGCAGGAGCAAACGAAAGGCGTCAGGAAGTCACCTGGATCAGGACGAGTTTGCTGACTGATGTATTCATTGTCCATTGAGTAAAAGGTCTGGATGATGTCGAGCTGTTCTTCATCTCTAGATGCCGTGGCTCTGCGGCGACGCCACCATGATGGAGATGATTGAGAAGAAAAGAGTTTTGTGTCGAGAGATCAAAGCTCGTCAGCGACCGGAGAAGAATCTGTGCAAACAGGACAGCATGCCCATCCTGCCCAGCTGGAAGAGGAGGCAGCCGCCGCCATACTCAGCCCCGCCCACCGCCGCCGGACACACCGCCACGGTTTTCTGGGACACCGCCATCTGAATTAGACAACTAAAACACACACACAACACACACTGCAGAGCCATGAGACAGCCAGTCAGTCTGCTCGTGTTTATATGCATCACATTGTTCAAGTCAATGAAAGACTTAAAGAGCAAAAGAGACTTCAGGCTGTTCTAACAGTTCATACCACGGACTCTGCCTGCGTTCAGCTTCTCTCCTTCTTCAGCGCCTGAAGTTGTCAAACTTCCTGACAGTCCAGTTTAAAAGAAACAACAGACAGAAACGTTTAGATGAAAACTAGCAGAGAAAAACAGGAACAGGATGAAACAGAATAAAAAAACAGAAACAAACAAGGGAGACATGATCCGGTATCCACATATACAGATATATGGGCTAGGGTTAGGGTATACAGATATATATATGTGTATATCTGTATACTCGTCATGTCTTCACTCTTATGTGTTTAATCTGGAAGGTTTGTTTGTAACTCAAAACAGTGAAAAACGTTTTTATAACACACACCCACCAATATGTCCGTCCTTCTAAGATTGTGAGGAAATTTCCGTAGTATCGCAAAAATGTGTTTACTTCGATGGTTTAAGTTGATATCGGTTCTCCCTGAGTTAGCAACAAAAGCTCACGCACACTTTTATGCAGGTGTTGTCCTGCTGTCCAATCAGAGTGCAGGAGGGTGTGGTCATCCAGGTGTAGCAAAGCTTGCTGTCGTCTTTCTACTCGTTATTTTTCTATCTGTAAAAGATTCAGATGCTTTTTTAAAAGTCTGACAGTCGTGTAGCAGAAAAAGAGTTTATAAACTTTACTCTGTGATAAAAGATCACTGAACATGTTGCTCAACATGTTTTTATATTTTAAGAAAAGAAAGAATTAGTGATGCTCATCTGTGTGTAAAAGACAAGCAGGAACATGAAGAGGTTTTTATATTTAAAACGCTTTTATCAAGATGAAAATAACTATTTTAAAGGGAGAATATTTTGGCAGGTTGCTTGTTGGTTTGGTCACAAAAACTGTCCCACAAACACAGACTGGACACCAGTTTGACTCCAGTTTGACTCAAGTTTGATTCCAGTTTGACTCCAGTTTGACTCCAGTTTGATTCCATTTTGATTCCAGTTTAACACCAGTGTGACTTCAGTTTGACTCCAGTTTAAGTCCAGTTTGACTCCAGTTAAACACCAGTTTGACTCCAGTTTAAAACCAGTTTGACTCCGGTTTGACTCCAATGTACTTCCAGTTAACCTCGGTTCAACTCCTGGTTATCTCTAATTTGACTCCAGTTTGACTCCATTTTAAGTCCAATTTAACACTAGTGTGACTTCATTTTAAGTCCAGTTTAACACCAGTGTGACTCCAGTTTAACACCAGTGTGACTCCAGTGTGACTCCAGTTTAAGTCCAGTTTGACTCCAGTGTCCAGTTTAACACCAGTTTGACTCCAGTGTGATTCCAGTTTAACACCCATTTGACTCCATTTTAAGTCCAGTTAAACACCTGTTTGACTCCAGTTTGACACCAGTTTAACACCAGTTTGACTCTATTTTAAGTCCAGTTCAACACCAGTTTGACTCCAGTTTAACACCAGTGTGACTCCACTGTGACTCTACTGTGACTCCAGTTTAAGTGCAGTTTGACTCCAGTGTCCAGTTTAACACCAGTTTGACTCCAGTTTGACTCCATTTTAAGTCCAGTTTAACACCAGT